TATAAGTATGTAGTGTATATATATATAATCTTGTACAGTATTTGGTATATATAATATATTAAATATGCCTTTTGTTTTATTTGAAGGCCCATGTTAATTGACAAAGAAAAAGCCTTGTACGGATCTCATTTGTACAACTAAACTATTAAACAAATGTCGGTAGAGTGAGAGAGTTAGAGAGAGAGGATCGAAGTGAAAAGTCAGTTATACCTTCAACCTATGTAGTATAGTGTAGAGTGAATATTCTGAGGGTATTTTGGTAAAAAAAAATCAGCTGAAGAATATGGCTGTCGGCTGAAGAAGAATTGAATCCTGCCCCGAAGACAATGAGCCCATATTTCTTGCTTGCCCATAGGCCCTTCAAATTACAGAGCCGACGCTGCTGCCACCTAATCTAAACACGTTTTGAATTAATATATAAGAAGGGTATTTAAAAAAAAAAAAGAAAAAAAACTTAAACCGGTTGTTCTATCTAGTGTTCTCCTCGCAAGTGAATGTTGACTGTACTTTTTGAATATCACAAAGCCACAAATTATTGGGAAAAAAACAAGGGAAATGTTATAGTCTCGTTACGGAATCATTCCGTCGGGATTTATAACCGTTAGATTATCATGTAACCATCATGGATAGTTGATCTAACGGTTACAAATCCCAACGGAATGATTACCGATAGTGCCGATACTGCAAAATATGAGGGGGCGAAATGACATTTCACCTAATTTTCGGGGGCGTAGACGGAAGACAGCTTTTTGGCGGCATTTGGTGACGCCACAGCACCATTCCAAATTCCCAACCCCAATATAAATACTCTGAGTGTCCTCAAAAACATTCTATCCAAACTCTCAACTTCCTTCTATTCTCTCCCTCTTTTTTCTCTCTTACAATTTCCGAAGCTCTTATTCCCTTCCCTCTGTTTCGACTTCCATTTTTGCGTTCCTTTTTTTCCTTCACGAAGAGAAAGCATGGGAAGCAAACGTCTCGGTGAAGACGACGGAAATCCGCAGGTCGACGAACGGAGTTTCTTGAAGCACATACACGATAACGTCCACGGCAACATTTATCTCGATCCTGTAATTTTTTCCTATCTTTTGGTCTTTTTTCCACTTGTAAATCTTCAACTGTACCCGATTGTTATCCGTGCGCTCTGTTTTTCTGCCTGCATGCTAAGCATTTATGTTCGAATTTGAATGAAACGAGCTCAGATTGTGTGTGTGTGTGTGTGTGTTTTTCTGGAACTGTCGATGCTTAGTTCGCGTTTGTTGAGTCTAAAATGGAGATTCAGCTCAGGTTGGTTGGAAGTTTCATCGGTGTTTCGGAGTGTTGCGCTTTTATTTATTGTCATCGTGTGTTTGAGAGTGCTGCGTATTAATTATGACATGTTGTTGTTCTCGGATTCGTAACTTGATCGTACATCTCTGTACCTGAATCATGTCGATTTGGTGAGGAATCGGAGTGATTTGGTATGTTAATGAATCACTGTCTTGCATTTGGATGTTCATGTGGACTGTTCCGAGTTTATGATTCCTCATGTGGCGTTTTCTCATAGTTCAACACTTTTTATATCCATTCGATCTCACCTGGATTTCAGCTCTCTTTGAAGTTTGTCGACACAGAGCAGTTTCAGAGGTAAGTCAAACTAGGTCAAACTGTGGTCACCTTTTTTTCTCCCCGACTGTAGCTGTGGTATGTATTGCTTTAATTAGTTTTACCGTTTCTGATTAGTATTCACCTCCACATTCCTTAAATATATTGCAGGCTTCGTGATTTGAAGCAGCTAGGTGAGTGCGGGAATATTTGTATTGCATGAATTTTGGCAATTCGAGTATATGAATTATGGTTGCATGTGTTCGTGGAAATGCCTATGTGAAATAAAATTGCGATAGTGGATTATACTCCAGGATCTCATTGCAATACCATAATCAAATGGTTTTGTTGCTAATACTGTTGTTAAAGCTATGGTTCTTCTGGCAGAAATGTTTTTCTTCCAGTAATTTGAATTTATGTGTACTGAACCTAGAGACGACAAATTAGTTTGATGGATACTTCTTCCTGCTTCCTAGCATACAAACTGTTTGTGTTTGTACTATTCAGGAAACTGAAGTCTTACTTGGACTTGGTAATTTATATGTACTCCACATAGTTTTCTAACACTTACCTAGCATGTAGTCGTGTTTTTGTGACGAGCGGTATAATAATTACTTAAAGACCGACCTATCTCTTTTTACTGTATAGCTACAAATTTCCACTTTCTCAGAAATCCATAAGATCAGTGATCCTATAGTCAGGTCAATCATAAATGCCCTCCTCGTACTCTACTCTTTCCTATACATTATACGCGAATCCTTTCCCCTGAAATTCTGTTTTACTCATTTTCAACCTTCAGCTCCTGGCTTGACTTAATACAAATATCCAGGATTGTCTTACATGGTCTACCCTGGAGCAGTGCACTCACGGTTCGAGCATTCACTTGGGGTGTATTGTCTAGCTAGTGAAGCTATCAACAGACTGAAACGCTATCAAGTAATGTCATTATGGTATCTTCACTGTGATTTTCTGTTTCGTAACTGAGAATAAATGCAATTTTCTTGCTATCTGTCAGGGTTTGGAGCTTAATATTGAACCTTTCGACATACAAACTGTGAAATTAGCTGGTAATATAACATTATTCTTGTAATAATTTATTTGCTGTCATGAATGCATTCTAAATGTCTCTATTTGATTATTCTGAGTAGGTTTACTGCATGATGTTGGTCATGGTCCATTCAGCCACATGTTTGAGCGTGAATTTCTTCCGAGGGTTCTCCATGACCAGAAATGGTGATCTATTTCTCTTTTTTCTTTCCTATATTATCATTTATTCATGATTTAGTATGTTGCTTATCTACAAAGCTGCCTAAATTTGCTTCGGTGTTGCCAAACTTTGATCTTCTGTAAGTCTTGGTACTAAGGCATGCTGTTAGGCTGTTAGGATATTGTGAAAATTTTAGGTGGTCTTATAAGGGCTTTGATAATGATGTCCTTCCAGCTGCTGCTCATCACTAAGTTTTTTCCTAAATTGACAATATACATAGTAGATTATTCTATATGCTGTTAGAAGCATTTCGTGTGTATGAGTTCTTCAAGTTTATATTATCTGTGATGAGCTAGAATTCTGTTTTTGTGAAAGCTTTTGCCCGCATTCGAAGTGACATATACTGAATTGTTTCAGTATTTATAGAACTTGCTGAACCACGAAACGATACATGCAGGTCTCATGAAGAAATGTCTCTGCAGATGATAGACTATGTTGTAGATGAACATAACATTGATATTGATCCCGAATGTCTTAAGAAAGTGAAGGTTTGATTGCTATTATCCTGAATTTTATAATCTTAATATTCTGTTTGTTTCTTTAGTAGGCTGACTATTAATATTCTAGGATGAACATAACATTGATATTGATCCAGAATGTCTTAAGATGTGGAGGTGTGATTGCTAATATTCTGCATTTTATAATCTTAAAATTCTGTTTGCTTCTTTAGTAGATTGACCCTTAATATTCTAATAAATCTCCATATAAGACTTAAACCACAATCTACGACTCTCTTACAAACTGGAGACCCTAAGTGGAGCATATGTAATCCTGCCGCTTTTATGCTTGATTTCTATTAGAATTTCAGTACTTCAATTGGTGAAACAACACAGACCATCATTATGTGCCATGCTTCTGAACTTTATTAGATAGGACAGTTGACGTGAGACAGAGTAGTTGGAAACCCTGCAGTGCTATTACACGTACCTTGCAATTTTCCTTCTCTCTTTCTCCTACTATATTTTGATACCTCTTTTATGTCAGGAATTGATAATTGCTTCTGAGAATGCTACTTCAAAAGTAAGTGCTGTTGTGAAAATGTTTTATCAGTCTTTCCTAATATTTTGAGACTTTTTGAACGTCTTATTTCTGGTGAGTATTTTAGCAACTGAATTTTGCTTTTCATTGTTTAGAGCTCCAAAGAAAAGCTTTTCTTGTATGACATTGTTGCTAATGGGCGCAATGGAATTGATGTTGACAAGTATATTTTCTCTCTCAGTAGTCAATCGTCAATTAATTTCATGTGATTAGATAGCATGAAACTAGAGATTTTGGTTGCTAGAAATAATAATTACAATCTTTTTGCAGATTTGATTACATTGTCCGTGACTCCAGAGCTTGTGGTCTCGGGTGCAATTTTCAATTTAAGAGGTGTGACTATGTCTTTAGAAATGGAGACTCAGAATTGTTTAGTTATAATATATTTCTATTTGTTAATTATACACACACATGCACACACATATTTTTATGAAAATAATTTCTGCGGTTCATGCATTGCCTAACTTTATTGTCAATATTTGCAGGGTGTTAGAGACTATGAGAGTAATAGATGATGAGATATGTTATCGGGCTAAGGAGTGTCAGTATTTCTAGCTATATCAGTATTTTTTACAACTTCCTATAAAACATCCATCTTATGTTAAATATATACAGATCTGACCATCCATAAGCTATTTGTTACTCGAGCGGATTTGCATCGCACAGTCTATACGCATGCAAAAGTGAAGGTATCTACTTCTTGAATCTCATATGTGTCTCAAAAGCATTTCTTCTGTAATTTCATTTCAACTTTTAAGTAAACATCTAATCACAGTTCTTTCCAGGCAATAGAACTCATGTTTGTGGATGCCATGATAAAAGCTAATGATACTCTTCAAATTTCGGCCTACATCGACGATCCAGCTCAGTACTGGAAGGTTACTTGAGCTTTGTTGTGTGACTTAACTTATTAATTTGGTATATTTGGGCCATTATGTTATCCATCTGTTACAAATTTGCAGTTAGATGACACGATACTGAAAGCAATTGAAACTTCTTCTGGCCAAGATTTGAAGGAATCCAGGGATCTGGTCCTCCGCATACGCAGAAGGGATCTTTACCAGGTACTTTTAGTACAATTCAGAGAAAGGCCATTCTCTTTTATTATAGTTTTCAGTTCCAAATATATACTTGAGGTTTGGCCTGGTTACCAAATAAGTGAAAAGGAAAAGGAAAACTGAAATTGGAAAGGAAGAACAGATCAAAAAAGAAATCGTACCCCCTTGAGGTTTGCATTTCCTAGGAAATTATTCCCCCGTTCAACTGCAAGTTGTAACTAGAAACAGATATCATGGGGATACTTGTACCTTTGAAAGTTTTGAAAGTCCGCTTGGTCTTTTCGTAACTAGACTGCACTGAACCTCATGCGCGTGTTTGGTAGGTAAACTTTCGATGTTGATTTATATAACTTGGCCATGCGATATTCTGTAAATAACTTGATACTCACATCTGTGGTGACTCAAAATGGTTCACAGTTTTGCAACGAGTTTGCAGTTCCAAAGGAACAGCTGGAGTACTTCAAAAATGTTACAGCTCATGACATTGTTTGTTCACAGGTCACCCCACACTCATTTTTATTTTGTTATCCTTCGCTTGAATGATGTACGGAAGATATCATTAAGTCTGTAACTTGTGATGCAGAGTTCTAATCATCCCACACTGCATGTGGAAGATATTGCCGTAAGCAATGTGAAAATCGATCTGACTCGTGGGAGGAATAATCCACTTGAAAGGTATTCGGCCTGGTGTTTGTCAATTATTTATATAGATTCTCATAATCGATTTTCAAATCTGAAACTTACCTTATTGCTTTACTTATGTCATCTGTGTTGCCCTACACCAGCATCAGATTTTTCAAGGTACTATCATTTACTTTGGAACTTAAAACTTGCTTCTCTTTTGTGTTATCTTAGATCCAAGTTGCCGAAAGTGTCATTTAGTATTTATTTTTTGTGTTTTGTAAGGGAGGGATATAGCGGGAACGCTTGTTGTGATGATTAGCATAGTTACAAAACAATTCCAATTATCTTTTAATTACAACCACTCGAGGTTTGTGTTTGCTTTACAAGTAGTTGCAATTGGTGATACGGAAACATATGTTGAAGTAGTATTTGTAATTTGAAAGATATGCAAGTCCATTTAAGATTAAGCAAAACCCAAAGTGTACATTTGTAATCATTTCCCAAAAGAGAGAGAGAGAGAGAGAGAGAGAGAGAGAGAGAGAGAGAGAGAGAGAGAGAGAGAGAGAGAGTTTAACAGATTTGTTTTCACAGAGGACTGATTTATTATCCCACTCACTAAGTCTGTCTGGTATTTACAGGATTATGATAGCAGTGAGAAGTTTACAATAAAAGATGAGCTGGTCAGTCACTTGCTTCCTTCTTCATACCAAGACTTGATAGTGAGAGTTTACTCCAAGAAGCCACACCTAGTCAGTAAAATGGAACTATTTTGATACACAAGAAATTATGATCTGTAGAATTACTATAAACCTTGTAACATATTGGTTTTTTTTTTTCCTCCTCTGAAACACTGTACAGGTGGAAGCTGTATCCGAGGCCTTTGAGAATTTCCAGCTGAAGACCTATGGGATGAAAACTCAAGTTCATGCAACGCCTGAGAAGAAAAAGCACAAGCAGTTGAGGTACAATTTGGCAGGTGTTTAGCCGCTGCTTGTCGATTTCTAGAGTCTTTAACGTGCATAGAGAAACCGAATACGTTTCAACATGAATATTGATCAGAGAGAGAAAACTACAGAAAAACGTGAATATAAGTCAATATATATGTGAATTCTACAGCTACAGGAAGTATCCTATTCTGTTTCCTTATGTCGTTGTAATTCAACCTTAAGCAATGCACTTCCTCGTACAATGACATCCTTAGATGTTGCAGTTTGAGTTGGTTCAGACAATTATTAGGTGCTTTTATCGATCCTCGTGTGTTGGGCCAAAACTCATGAAATTTTCAGCAGGAGGCCAAAAGTAGCATAATCACAATTCTGTATAGTTTGCATAGGCGTACATATATGAATTCCGTCTTCTAATATTGTATGCTTGTATAATTATTGTTCTTTATTTTCACTTTTTTAAGAGTTGAAAACTGTATTTATAATTGTTCCATATTCATCACTCCATCTACGAATTCCATCTAATATTTTGTACTTGTATAATTATTGTTCTTTATTTTCTCTTTTTTAAGAGTTGAAAAATGTATTTGTAATTGCCCCATATTCATTACTTCATCCATGTATTTATAGAAGCACTTGCATCCTCTCAGTCACAGCTCAGTTTAAGCTTGAATTGTAGCAGAAACACATCTTACGAACGCCTTTATTACACTTGCCCAACACATTCAAACTCAGGCATTGATTGAGAACTTGTATGATCAACCAAACTCCGGTACAAATTGAGCAGACAAATAATATTGAAGGAAAAAACAGGATCACAAATCCAGAAATAGAAAGTTTCTGTGCGTCTAATTACATTTACAGAAAAGATCCTCCGGCAACTGATATCATATATCAACACTGAGAAGGAATGTTATTGCCTCTGAACCATCGAATGCCACTGGAATATTTCGAGTTTATATAGTCAAAATTGACTAGAATGTCTATCTTTACAGTGTCTTTAACCTTGAATACCCATCATAAATCACTTTCCCCCAGATAGTTTTAAAACTAAAGACCTGATTCTAAAATGTAGTTCACAGACCCAAATTTCATTGCCTGGCCATCCTAAACAAAAGGATGTTTCAAATACTTCACAACTCAAGCATGACACCAGGCCTGCGAATCAAAATTGTCTCGATGAATATTATATTTCACTGAAATCAGCAGTACAGCAGAGAGGGCCAACTCTACAGGTTTTGCTGTTAGCAGTTTCGTTGAATGATTCTCTTGCAATTGTTCGATTAGTAGTCTTATTTACAGTAGGAGAGGATAATCAATCCAATTTACACGTGTCTCCTCCATTTGCACTCGTGAACTCTTCTTCAAGTATATTCCTAATCTTTCTTCTCAAACTGGAAGCCTCCTCTGGCTTGAACCATTGCTTACCAAACTAAAAAACCATTTACAAAGAAAACACTGAAGACTGATGAACAAAATAAAAAATGAAACAAGAAAGAAAGTGGATATGAAAATAAAAGCGTTGTTTCAAAAAAAATGGAAAAATAATATGTACCATGTCTAAGTCCTTCTTCTCCAGCCTTTCAGGGGCATCTTCAAGGAAACGTTCCATAAAGAAAAGAACAAAGAGACCACAATCATAATCATTTCTTTGCTGAGGCACCTGCTCCGTGAAAAAACAGGAAAAAAAAAAAAAAAAAAA